GATAGAGGCAGGTAATTTGGAAGCAATTAAGATCAAAGGGGATGATCCAGAGAGAAGGGCGATCAATGGACGATAGAGAAGCTGGTAACTGACTAAACTGCTGAAACTGTTCGGCCCAACGCTCCAAAAGCTTTGACACGCTGTGCATTGGCTGTCCACTCTCGTCGCTAACCCCAGCTCTCCGTTTCCCGTATCAGACGAAATTACGTACTATGGTTACCAAGGGCAGCAACCATTTCCATTACCGATGTACAGTGAGACCACCAGTAGCACGCGGTTTTCCACATGAGGTCTTTGCGAGTTTCGATGTGTCCCCTTCGAGCCGCAATATGCCGGCAAGCATGCAGGCGTTCTAGAGACTGCAGAGACCAACTATCCAGACTGGCAGTTTGATTTCCTACATAAAGATATGCTTGCCGCTGATAACGTCTGGTAGAAATGCGACCAGTAACCTTCAGGTGTGTTCAGTGAGCACTTACTTAACCCGCATGCCAACGCAGTTTGATATGCAATCAGAACAACTGGCTTTGTCAGTTCATGGATGTCTATGCGCTCACAGCTTCCTTGCAGGCTTCCTCTGAAGCGAACTCGAAGATCGGCACATACAAGTGTGTGGTCGGAGTCCATGCTTGTGCTCCAAATCGAGCGGCAGTTTTGAACACAGCCTCTCCAGAGGTAACTGATCGTGATGTGATCGATTTGCGTCCATGGCACCGTTACAAGCTTGTGGTGTCAGATGTGAAGCGAGTTGCTTACTCTCTATGCTTCGAGCGTTTTCCTGATCCAATAGTCGAGGAGGTCTCCAACCGGGACCACCGGTGAATGCGTCACGATCCACCGAAGGATATCAATGCCAACACATTCAATGTGTTTAGCCAACGTGACGAATAAACTAAAGTCTGACCGCTGTCTGTTGTGTCGCTGCAAAAGCCGGGTGTCATCGTGGTGGGGCCTTCAAATCGACCATTGCTCTTGATCCTTAGAAGTGATCCGACCACTGGCTAGTTCGGCGAAGCTGTAAGCCATCGGGTGCGTCCCCAGGTCGCGGATCGGGGAATGTTTTCCTTGTGGAGGTAATTGTGAATACGCCTCGGTTGTTTGCAGGCGAGGTAAATAAGCAATCGCGGTCAATCAGCGGTAGCGTCCTAGAGCTGGGCTGGTTACCTGGATCCTCGTTAAATACCACAGAAGCTCGTAAGACGCTGTGTCAGAACCGATGTGGAGGGCTATAGAGTCACTGACCACTCACTTCTGCGACCAGAGTATCCAACGAAGGGCGGATAAACAACCTCGATGGCCACCGTTTTCTACCAAGGTGTATGAGCCACCTGGTTGTCCAAGTCCTTGCTCGCCAGCGAGTACGGTGGTTCAGGAAATTTCTCCTGGGGTCCGTGCAGCTTCACTCGGGCTCCTTTGGCGTCCTGAGTAGTTTGTTCCCATTCGTAAGTTGTGTTATCCTCATCGTGGTAGCCGGCTCCCAACGATTTGCGATATACGTCAATCGCCCCGTTGCCTTGCGGGCCAGGTCTTTATTACCCAAGTCCCCGGTGGGGTCCCCTAAGTCAACCCTCTTCTTTGACCTTAGTAAACGGGAAAGTCCATGGCCACATAACTTATGGATCAGTGTTTCAACGATTCCGCACTCTCTGAAAATGCTACTCCCAGCCGAACATGCTATATGGTGCTCTACCGCACCACCGTTCATTTACTTTATTCCAAGTTTGTTCAACTTCCCTCCCTCCGTTTCTGTGTTCACAACACCGTGCCGCATTCGGCGAGTGTACTCGCCATACGGACCAGGAACTTAGATCCGAGGATGCGCCGTCAAGTAGTATTGGCAATTCTTTTCTAGCGCCCCATTCCCAATTCAGGCTGGCAACGTTCGGACGCTAGTGCAAATTGGATCACAAGCAGCCCCTGCACGCTTGAAACTACTGCTGTTGATGTCTAGTGCCTCACTGAAACCCGATTACATGATCCTATCACGACGCTATGACTGGTTTCGTTATCTGAAAGTTCCACTGGCTAGAGACGCAACCGCCACAAACCGCCTGATTTGCCGGCGTGGGAATTGCGTTGGGCATACGTGCGGAGGCCGCGCTACGCTACTGGATCCCTGTTAACAGCGGGCTCTGTGCGGTTCGACTAGAGAAAGCTCAGTACGATCGGCCAACCGCGAAGCTTGTAAACATTATTTGTTCGTTGTAGCGGTGCATACTCCCACACATTACAGTCCTGACCCAGTCACCAGTCACCATTCCGAACCTCCTTGAAAAAAACGCCGCACGGATATCATGGTGTTTTCCGGAGACCTAAACGCGCACGTCGACAGACTGAGATCAACGAGCGTGAACTTGGTGGTTAACATGGTTATGATGTTCGCAAGACGGACACTAGTGATCGCCTACTTCAGCCTTTCGCAGATCACGCCCTCACTCTGTCGTATACTAGCTTTCGAAGATCCTGGAGCAGACGCGCTACCTTGAAAAGCCCATCACCTGGCCAGCCGTGGACACAAATTCATCACATCGCCATCACTTATCGCTGAAGGAGATGCATACCGGATCTCAATCTGGAGTAATTACCTCACTTCGGATCGCGCGCTTGTCTGTGCCAAGATCGCTCTACGTCTTGGTGGCTACCAACAAGGTCGCCAGAAATGGCCTGACGTGGCAAAGCTTTCTGGCCCAAGCCTTCTCCGCGTCTTTCGGGACGCATTGGCCTCAAATCACAAGAGCACCTCATGCTACGATGTTAAAACGCATTGGGAACACATGCACAGCGTCATGCGCAACTCTGCGACCCTGGTCTGTGCTTTCACCAGTAGTCCTGTCAACCACTAAATCTTCGCACGATCCCTTCAGCTTCTCGAATTCCGTCGAGTAATTCCTACCGACGTTGGGTACCACTTACTGCGCAGGATCACCAACGCTAAACACAAACAGCTCCTTAGGTAGGATCGCGAGGCGTGATGGACGCAGTATGTCAATGAGAGAGCAAGCGGCCACTTAGGGGAATTTCTGAAGACGTTTCTCCTGCAAAAGGCCGACGGTAAAGGAAGTTTTTTTTGCGAAGCGCATGACGAGCCAATCCATTGTCAACAACGCCGACTTGTGCGTTGGGCCAAGCATTTTGAGCAGCAGTTTGATTGACCACCAAAAACGGCGAGTACGCACACAGGAATCCAGTGATGCCTGACTTGTAGACGCTCCACCACTATCTGAAGCTGCTCATGGAACAAAGTGTAAGGTCTTCCCACAAGGCTGGCTAGGAGCTGGTAGGAGCTACTCCTACCCTTACTCTTTCAGGTCATCCTCGGAAAGTAGCAAACAAGTTTGTTTACCTCGGAAGCTACATCAGCGCTAACGAATGAGGTCCCTTTGCGCGTCTCTAAGGCCCGGGTTGCTTTTGATAATATCCGTCATCACTGGCGTCGACGTGACCTGAGTCTCTTTGAAGGGTCGAGTCTACAATGCCACGGTAAGAGCTGTCCTAATTCTGCGATTGTGAGACTTGTCCTGCTGATGGAAAGCACGTTCAGAGGCAGTTTGTTCTTGATCACCACTGTCTTCGGAGCATTGGTGGTTTACGATAGCAACATCACATTAGTAAGGATGCTCGTCGTACGATTTTCAGGTCAAACAGACTACCGGTCGCTGAGCCGCATAATTTCTTGGCAAAGGCTTCGGTTCGTCCTTCATATACCCACTGAACGTTTGCCTCACCATGCACTCCTTGTGCGCACAGAAGTTAGCTGAAAGCGAAGAAAAGATGGTCAACAAATGACTTGGGTCAAATGTGTGAGGGTTTTGCCCTCAAATTTGGCCGCGATCGAATGCCTTCGGCTCCCTGGCTGGGGGGCGCAAGTGTCACGAGTGCATATGGCTGGAAACCCTCCCGGACATACCAAGGAACCGTGCATAATGGCGGATGTAAGGCTCTACTACCGTAACTACAGGGTACACTTTTTCTCTTCACTATCACTGTATTTTTTCTATCCGTATGTTGTGGCACTCTGCCAATTGTAGCATGGGTCAGGCGTTCAATATAAATAAATATCCCTGGAATACGGTGTTTACACTGTCCACGGCGGATTTGTCAATTTTGTTGTCACCTGTGTAATTTTAAGGTCATCGGTGATATCCTACTCTGCCGATTTTGCTGAAATCGTTGAGGGAGACCACGAAGTGCACCTTATATGGGATGCGGTCACGATGCCAGAGACACCATCGATCGAATTTGAGGATACACCGTACTGGTTGGCAAGCTGGCTTGAGACGCGTAAAGAATATGCAAATGCAGGTATTGTGAGTTAAAGTCGGTTACATGATGTGGACGATGAAGTTATCTAACTCGATGGATACCGTGTCGTGAGGTTCGACCACCATGGGAAGCCCCAGCATCACGGGGCATCAGCATTTACGTGAAACAGCTATGGTGGGATTTGGTTACTTCGCTGTCTACATACTCAAAATCCAAAATTAGCTGTCTTCCAATCGAATGTAAACCGAAGTTTCTGAGTAGATTTCTGTCCACTGTCATCGGAAACGTCTACGCAGTCACACACCACTGTCTGAGCTTAAGAATTTTGCATATTATTTTCTCCAGCGTTACTGCCTAAAATTGAGTGTTCTTTCTGTATCGATGCTGGTGACTAACAAAAATGATACGGAATCCATGAAGACACTCAGTCTAAAGGATAGAGTGTCTTTCGAAACCAGGCTTGACTCAAATATATTTCCCACCAACAAAACTCAATTGATGTCTAAGAATATTTTGGAACCGACCGGGAAGTTTTAGGAGGCTTAGTGGAAGATCAGTTACTTTCACAAGGGTCGAAGATATGAAGTAAGATCATACACTAAAGAAGGTATACTCGATTATCATTAGTGTCTGTCAGGCCTGTGTCGTATTTTTTAGAAAAAGATACAGTATAAAAAGAAGTGTTGCTTCACATGAACAACCGGTACGAACGGCGAAGTATGGGTAAAGCGGCTTACTTTGCAGGCGGGAGTAGCGTGGCGCTTTTTCCGTAGGCTTCGAAGAATTGTTTGACATCTTTTGCGGGCCACGATAGGGCTCGCATGGGTTCAACCAGCTGTAAACAAGAAGTGAAATTCACAGCTTACTGGCTTAGATCTTGGAAGACAATGGATAATAAAAGTTTCGAAATGCACGTAGCATCGGGCTAAAAGTCCACTCTACCCGAACTCTGGACCGTCACTCGCAACAACTGCATAGACCTGAGCAATCCGATATCACGCGTCTCTCGTGTAAGCAACCAATAGATTGGGTTGAGGATCGTTTGGTCCTCAAGTGATCATTGCCTACGCCTGACAAGACGCACTGCTTAGCCTGTACTTAGAATAAAATAGTCTGGAAATCCATAGTACACTGCACACCAGGATGGGCCCATTTTCACAGATACACAATATGCTCTTAAAAAGAAATAGAGGGATTGTCGTTTAAACAAAACGTGTGCTATATTAAGGATGATGAATGAGGAATAAGAGCTTTGAGTTTCACACGCATAGTGCAGAGAGTTTTCGGTAGTCGATTATGGGAGATAGAAAGGGTAGTATTAGGACGTGGAAGAACTGTGGAGACACGCATCAAAGAGTCTGCTAACAGAAAAACTGAAATTCAGATAAGCTGCTGTGTGTAAAAATATGATTTATCTACTGTACAATTATAGTCCCAAAAAATAATGTCAGAATAGTGCAATCAATAGGGATGGGCGGATCCGTTTATTTAAAATGCAATAGATAAGTACTGAGAGCATTTTGAGTGGGAAAAGCGTCTCACAAAAGTGCGACAGAAAGCATGTAGATGCTTGACGTCAGATGATATGTGTAGTTTAGACACTCATAGCAAGGGAGAGTGAAGTTTAAGCAAGAACTCGAATGAATAAAAAACATTAAACCATGGCAAAGGACCGAATAAATGCCACCTCGAACTCAGCCAACACATGTTGAAGCATCACGGGCGCCTCAACTGTAGGGGCTGAGTATATAGAAACGGAACCGGAGAATGCATCGCTACTTGCAAGATACTAATCGGAACACTGTCAAACTACTATGTAGGCTTAAAGAAAAGGCTTTTGAACGCAAGGACATGACATCAGTAAAGTCTCTAACGATTGAAACGACACTGAAAAGCAAACGTGAACAAAATGTTTCAATACATGCAAAAACGGAATGGGTAGGTTAAATACCATCCTCCGAAGGAACGGTGTTGAACTCGTACTAGCTCCAGACGTGCATAACATGCATGAGCGAATGTCGGGTTGTCACTTCGAGTAAAAGATGTCGAGAGCAGATAATTCTGTCAAGCATCTTTGTGTGCATGCCACAGTGGATGTGCCATCATCGTGGGAGCACGAACGGGTGGAAGTGAGCCGACGAGAAAAATGCTAGCGTAGTGTGTGGGTGGCGTCAGTCGTGAATATCGAGTGAATTAACCCAAATATTCAATGGCTGTGTGTGACAAGCCTGAAGCAGATCCCAATCGGTCTCTGCAATCACACTCCCAACTGCCTTGTAGGTCAGGCTATTGAGCCAAAATGTTCGGGTGTAGCCCTCAAGGGAACCTCCATGTACCGCACTGCCTTGTGGGCCAAGCTATTGAGTCAAAGCGTCCGGGTGGAGTCCTTCAAGCGAATCTCCATATACCCCAATGCCGTGTGGGTTCGACTGTTGAGTCAAAGGATAGAGGCAAGGAACCACGAACAAAACCCCTCTCTGAAAATCCGCAACCGAATCATATGCCATCTCCGCTACGTCGACAATACTCCCTTGTTGTTTTTCTCTCCCCTCGCCTCTTCCCCGTCTACTGAGCAAGAGACTTCAGCTGACCTCGCACATGCTGCCATCGATACATGTAGCTCTTCCGTCAAATCTAAATTTCCATGTCACATTGGTTCTTTTAACGTCCGCACTCTAGGTCAGATCGGCCAGCAGGCAGCACTGACTCATTCACTCTTCACTCTCTTGGTATTGATGTGCTGTGTCTCCGAGATACGCATACAAGCTAACAGCGTCGTGACAAATCTTCGACTACCTGATTCTCAATCTGACGATGATGGCTACAATTTTCGCGTCTCTGGTGTTACTGAGTCAATGGCTCAAGGTATTTACGGTGTTGGTATTGCGTTCAGCAAACATGCTGAAAACAATCTGCTCTACTGAACACCGGTGAACAGCCGCATGTGTGCTGTTCGACTCTGAACCTATATTGGAGTTAATAAGCAGCATCTGAAGACAAGTTGTCTTTTCATCGCTTCAGTTTATGCCCCCACTGAATACAGTTCAAAGGGTATCGAAGGCGATTTTTATCAACAGCCCCCATCTCTTCTTTGCATGGCGAAGAATATTGACATCTTGATCGTTACTGGTGACATGAATGCCCAAGTGGGCCGTCTTCCAGAGTATGAACAACACCTGGGCGGCCACTTCGGAGTCGATGCACGCCGTACAGAGAATGGCGATCGATTTCCGCAACTGTGCGCCGACCACAGCCTTTATCTTAGCGGCACTGCTTTTCAGCACAAACGTTCACACCGCGTCACCTGGATTCTACCGAAATTCCTAAATGACCTGGACCCAAATTGACTATATTGCCATAAGCTATAGATGGCGCACATCAGTTCAAGAGTTTCGGTCAATTTGGAGCACGCGCCTAGCTTTCGACCATGCTCTATTGCGCGCACGCTTGGCGCTCACTCTTCCTGCTTCAAACAAGCGTCTATCTTCTAACCCTCTTACCTGTAACTTGCAATCGCAATCTGTATTTCAACAATAGCATGATGAACCTGCCCACCAAATCTCAGTGATGAATGAAGTTGGTGAACCGAACACAGAATGGGATCGTCTCAAATGTGCTATGATGATTGCCTTTGACGCATGCTGTGCGCCCAATTTGAGACGTCTTTACTGTGAATGGATCTCTGAGGCATCGATCAGCTTTATGGAAGCACGGAAACAAGCTCCGATGGGCACTGAGTTTCTGTGTGTCCGTGGATCTCTGAAACGACGTCTGACAAGGAGTCTTCGAAGTAGCCGGGAACGTTGGTGGATAGCAAGGGCTCGTGCAGATGGAGAAAGCCAGCGCTATTGGGAACAGCCGAGCGCTATTCCAGCTCATCCGGAACACGGGTCCGAGAAAGTCATCAGTTAGCCAGACAATAGCTGAGAAAGATGAACAATCGATCCATTCTCAGCATCGCCGACTAGCCCGTTGGGCGGAACATTTTGTAGAGCAGTTCACACGCCTGCTGTGACACTACCGCTTACCAAGCCACTTGAGCCGACGTGGGAAGATGTCACATTTCCCACTTTGGAAGAGATTCAACATGGGGATTCCGCGTTGAAACGAAACAAGACCCCTGGACTCGACAACCTTCTTCCATCTTAGCTTAAAGATGGTGGTGACCCTTTGTTGATTGGACTAGCTTCGCTACACTAAAAAGGTGCCTTCAGACTTGCGAGTGTCAACTGTCGTTCACGTCTTCAATAATGGTCAACGTACTCTGTGTGAAAATCATCGAGGCATTAGCCTTGTTTCCGTTGAGTCCAACCTCACGGGTATCATTCCCCGACGACTTACTGATCTCTGTGAAAACCAAATCGCCGAAACCCAGGCTGGCTTCCGCCCTGGTCGTGGTTGTATCGACCACATATTTTACTCTTCGCCACGCGATAGAGCAGAGGCATATACCGACGACCGACTGATGGTTTTCATTCACTTGAAGGCCATCTTTGACAATGTTGACCGCGCCAGCTTCTGGCACTACATATCCATGAGGCGTGTGCTGGCTAAGTTCCTGTTACAACAGTAATGAAGGCTCCGCTGGATTTATTTCCGGAGCACTCCAGTAACATCTAACTAGCTGGCGCCTCCCTTCTTTCTTTTCCATCTGTTTACCTTACTTCTATTACTAACCTTCCTTCTATAATTCCCAGCTTAATTGACAGCAACCGAACTGCCACTGGAGTAGAACCATTTGCAGCCACCTTCCCATGGCACCTATCGGACACGTGTCGGCAACAGTCCCTTATAAGGCCATGCCATCCCGTTTCCATGGCAACATTCAACGTTCACACCATAAGACAAACAGGTCAACAGACTGCACTTGCACGCACCTTCGACACACTGGGTATTGATGTGTGTTGTGTGTCCGAAACTAGGATCAATGACCCTAATTGGATTGTTGAATTCACTGCACTCGGCTTATCCTCTCGTTATTAGTTGCATGCATCCGGAGACACCGATGCAGCAGTCACAGGTCAACGTGGTGTAGGTATCATACTAAGCTCGAAGGCTGAGCCATTGTTGGTTGATTGGATTCCGGTGAACAGCCATTTGTGTGCAGCTCGTTTGATGACATCAACTAAAGTTGATGCATAAAGTAGTATAAGACGCTGTTTGTTTGTGATTTCCGCTTATGCTCCCACCGACTGCAGTTCTGATGCTGTCAAGGACACCTACTACCATAAACTGAACGTGCTACTGCGCAGTTACTAGTTCAGATATTATAGTACTTGCAGGGATATGAACGCACAAGTAGGGCGTCCGAGGTCTTCAGAATCTCAGCTAAGTGGTAATTTTGGGCTTAGCTCCGAACGGACTGACAACGGCCAGCGTCTGCTGTAACTGTGTGCGGAGCACCAGTTCTTTCTTACCAGCACTGCTTTTAGACACAGTGGGCGCGGAAGTGCCTCTTGGTGTCCTCCTGTAGCTGGCCAGCGATGGACCCAAATTGACCACATAGCCATAACTTACAGGTGGCGCGGTTCCATCCTGGATTGTCGCTCGTACTGGAGTACCTGCGTTGACTCTGATCATGCCCTGGTACGCTGTCGTTTCTCCATGAACTTTACCCGGGGGCCGCACCAAATGTCCACTCCGATTGGCAACTGAGAAATTGTCTCAGCTCTCTGTCAGGCGAGCCTATCAAGACGCACTGCATACCGAACATTCGACCTCTTGTCCTAATGACACTGAGCTTCAGTGGAAATGTCGGTTAACCTGTTGGGATACAGAAGAAACCTCCGGGCTGGCTCTAAGCACACTGTGACCAGAAGGACTATTAGGTGCGAACTAAAGCGGAGTCTACGTGCTGACAAGCAAGCGTGGTGGACCAGGCGAGCACAAGAAATGGAGGAGGCAGGAGCAGTAGGCAATTACCGCAAGCTCTTCCAGCTAATCCGCACCACTGGTCCCAGAAAACCAGGCGTCAGTGAGACAATCAGAGACGGCGCGGGTGCGCTGATACACAATAAGGAGCGCCGTATGGCTCGTTGGGCTGAACACTTTCAAGATCAGTTCAGCTGGTCCCCTACTCCCGGACCTCTTCCTACTCATGTGATGCAGGACGACCCATGGACGGTTAGTTTAGAGCCTCCGTCGGAGGCCGAGGTTCGAAACGCGATCACAGCCCTCAATCGTTTTCGTGCCGCTGTCCCGGATTTCCCCACACCTGCACTGCTTAAAGATGGACGCGAGGTCCTCTGCAAACCACTGACCTCCCTATTCGAACCTATCTGGAAGGAAGAGAGTGTCCCGGCTAACTAGTGGCAATGTACAAGAAGGGCATTCGCGCAGACTGTTTTAACCACAGGGATATTAGCCTAAAGCTAGTTGTGACAAAATTACTGGCCTCGATTATCGTTCGTCGCACCACTGCGAAACGGGAATCTCGGATTAGGGAAGAGCAGTCATGTTTCCGTCCAGGACGTGGCTGTATAGACCATATATTCACTTTGCGGCAGGTGCTAGAGCAGTGCCGCGCATACCGCAGACCGACAATAGCTGTGTTCCTCGATTTCAAGAGTGCGTTCGATTCAGTCGATCGATCGATTCTGTTCGAAATACTTGCACAGAAAAGTGTTCCCACGAAATATGTGAACATCCTTCGTGCTCTATACTCGAACACTACAGTCCGCGTCAGTGTTTACGGTGTCCTATCGGATAGCTTTCCGACCACAAGTGGCGTTCGTCATGGTTGTCCGATTTCCCCGATCCTGTTCTATTTCGTTGTCGACTCTATCATGGTGTTTCTTTACGCAATCTTACGATATAAAAGTAGAGGTCCTGCCTCGTGAAAGGTTAGTGGATCTTTATTGTGCGGACGATATCGTCTTGCATTTCGACGATGTTGTGACGGCACAATCAACCATGAATAGTCTGTTCAGAGTGGTCCCATTATTTGGTATGCGCTTCGCACCTTCGAAATGCAAAGTGTTGCTGCAGGACCACCAGCCACTTGATGACACCTTGACGCTTGCTAACGCGGAACTCGTGGTGGTTGATCAATTCACTTATCTTGGCAGCTACATCAGCAACGATGGGCGCATAGAAACTGACGTCAGCTCACGCATTTAAAGGCCAGAACTGTCTTTATAAACCTGCGGCGACAGAAGGGAGTTTCCCTCCGTCGGAAAGACCGTGTTTACAACGCCAGAATGAGGGCGTCCTACACTATGGGAGTGAAACTTGGACCGTTCGGTCTGAAGATCTGAGGCGCCTTTAAGTCTTTGATCATGGTTGTCTACGAAGCATTGCTGCTGTCCGATGGCACCAACATGTCCGCAACGATGATGTGCGTAGGCGAGTACTCGGTAGTGATAAACATGCTAGCTCCCTAGAACGACAGATAGTACTGAATAAGTTGCGTTGGCTCGGGCACGTACTACTTATGCTTGGTCACCGCTTACCTAGGAGAGCCTTATGCAGTCTGCCAGGTTTAGGGTGGCGCAAGGCTCGAGGTGGACAGAAGTTGACTTGGCAACGGGTAATGAAGTCACTGACGCCCAAACTGGGTGCCGCTGGTCCGTCTCGTCTTCCGGTCTGGGGACCACGTGACTCGCCTTGTGCTTGGCTCGAGATTTTACAGGACATGGCTTACAACTGACAGCAATGGCGCGTCTGCTGCTGTCTCTTACTCGGATTGCCTGTTTAAAGTGTGTTTGGTGCTGAGTTATCTGCGGGTACTGGCTGATTATGACGCGTGGCAGTGAAAGCCGCAAGGAAGCTGTCTCGTTGATGCCGCGTTAGTTTTGTATGATAGCCGGTTATTTGCGACGGTATTTTGTTGACAAGATCTAGGGGCCTTGACTTTGAATGATTGTTTAAGGTAAGGAGGTTTGACGCTAGGTCCCCCTTATCTCCCTTTCCTCGTCCTTCGTTCCGTAGGTCGTTATTGTTGTATGGCAGCGGAGCATCAGTTCAAATGGCTGATGTTGATGAGGTGGGTTCAAGGGTGCGTCAGCTGTCCTGTCTTCTCAGCGGTTCTTAAGTCAACACCTCGTTGTAAGCGCGTGCTTGATCAAAATAGCACCAATCATCATCTCACGGGTTCTTGTCATCAAAAAATGTATACCTTTTATCACCCAATCGAATCCAAAGCGTTTTCAAATTCCTCCTTAAGGAAATCATGTTCCTTCATAGATCTTTCAAGATAATCCATAACGCTTTCAAATTGAAACCAACGGGCGCAAACACTCCTAAATTTTCCGTGCTGCTCATTGAGTGACCAAGCTCAAATAAGCAGGTATTATAACAGATGAGCACACAGAGTGGGATGGTATTGTGGGATTTGGATTTGGTCACTTTTAGTGGCGTTCGTGACCGCTGGATTCAACTTGAAAGCGTTATGGGCCATCTTGAAAGATTGGAGAAATTTGAAAGCGCTATGGATTCAATTGCCCGAGAAAATGTATAGTTGTGAGTTGTAGTACCGGGTGTGCCATCATTTTCCGCGTTTCAATCAGGCCGATTATTAAGGAGTTGTTTAATGGCGGAGCCTAATCAACTACCAATGCTACCAATACTTCCCTGAGTCACTAGCATGCTCCGGTATCAAAAAACAGAGGTAAGCCTGTACTTCGCATCAACGCTTCGGTGCCATGTGACCACAAGCAGTCACATGCGGGCTAGGGATACTGCAACGTCGACAGCACTTATGCGGGTTCAAACACACGCTCTGGGGATTGCAAACCAAGAGACCGAACCGTCTGGTCCACCAGATTACAAGGTATCCGCTGCATCCCATATCAATGTCAGTTTTATTGGCGTTAATAAACTTGACAAGAAGCAGTAAGAGTAAAGGATAGTCTATAAGCCCTGAAGATACGACTCACCTGCTTGTGTTGTGCGAACTACTGTCTTCAACGAGTAGTGCAGTAATGTGTACAGCTACATGCAGTTAGCATGACAGAGTATGCGTGTAACACCAAGAAGGCGTCAAATCTTTTAGTAACACAATACAACTGGAGAAAACTATTGAGGGCGAAACGTTGAACGTAGAAATTTATGGAGAGGCATGGCTCGAGTGTGTATCAGAATATTCAACTACAATGCAAGCCACCTTATGGACAGCATAGATCGTGTACTTGTGTGATATAGATCCAGCAGCGGCCCATGCATTCGAACTGTATGGTGATAATACCAAGTATATAATGCCGATGAGACGAATAACTCAGCTAGACATGTTTATGGGGGTCAGCTGCTATGGTAATCACGCATACAAACTCAATCGAGTGCGTAAGATGATGTACTTACTTTCTCTACAATATCCACAAGTAAGTCCTGCGTTTCTCTCGCCTGAGAAAGCCCACATGCAATGGTGATCACGGCTTTCGAAATATGCTAAGATAATGTAAATTGGACAGGACAGTTGTGGTAGCTAGAAAATAGGAAATTGTGACTCACAGCATGCAAATGGATCGACAAACACATAAAAATGAGAGAAAATATCGTGCGTAATATGGTTTGTACACACTATTGTAACATTTCCTCGGCTACTCAGCTATCCAGTCCGAGCCATTATGATCACTGCTCCATCGGAAAACCAATCGGTGTCTATCTGATCAAGAGGTCTTGTCTGATAGTATATCGTATATAGTGGATCATCCACTAAAGATTTAATTTGGGGTTACAAACGAGCCTTGCTTTCTGAAGTCATAAAGCTCCTAACCCTGAAAAATTGTTTTCAGCCCTTTTCAAAAATGCAGGCCCGTCTCTATTCCGTGGAGTAACTATTCTCCTCCAAGAGATGTGGACCACGAAGTCATCCGGTCTGACGGTAGCTTAGATGACACCGCGCCAGTCTCCAAAAGGGGTGGTAGGACAGACTGCGCCTATTATTAAGTCAGCCTCATATGTGTCGCATCCAAAGTTCTCGCTTCTCTGCTCTTACAGAGGTTCAACAGGGTACGTGAACAGTGCATAGGTGAAGAGTAAGCTGGATTACGCCCAGATCGGAGCTGTGTCGATCAGCTTTTTATGGTTCGCCAGATACACAAGCTACGCTGTGCTTTAGGTCAACCCACCTGAATATACTCATTTTAACTCAGCTGGCAGAGCTATACACTGGAGTTGCTAGAGAGAAGGGGAGTGCCTGAGTTGTGTCATCCTGCAAGCAATCAATTTTTCGACCTCGGGCCACGTGCGCATATAGCTTGATCATTCGTAATCCTCCGACATGGTCAACATGCGTCACTCTTCTGATTCAAATTCACTGTGGAGGATATCTTGCAGACTTCTCTGGATGTCTGTGAGCTTAATGGCATCAAGTTTCTCCTAGGTCGTTGGCCTCTTGAGTTAGAGTATGCTGACGATATCTCGCATGCTGCCCAGGATAGGTTGCGTGAGGTTACAGATGTCCGTATCACAGTTCGGAATGATTTTTGTCCCTTCGAATTGCAAGACTTTTCTTCAGGACTGGACCATATCATATTGAGGTCTTCTTTGGAAGTAGTCGATAAGTGCGTTTTCCATTGGAGCTGCATTAGCATGGGTGGAGTAAGGCACGAAATCTCCTTACGAATCTCCAAAGCCAGGGCAACCTTCACCAACCTCCGACACCTCTGGCACTGGCATGACCTTAGCCCATCACTGAAACGCGGAGTCCACAATGCTACGATACGACCAGTGACCCTTTAGGGCTGTGAGATCTGCCCCACTTTGCTTACAGATCATTGCTGGTGCATGTTGGCAGTAGCGCATTGGTAATGATGACGCTCGACATCGAATTTTCAAGTAAGGCAGACTTTGTCGACCGCTGAGTGGGACAATTTCTCTACATATACTTCGATGGCTCTGGTACGTGGTTCCTATGCCTGTTCGGCGGTTACCCCACTGCGCCCTCTCTACGCGAACCAATGTTGATTGGAAAGGACGTAGAAATGGTCGACGCACAACTTGGGCTCAGGGAATAAAAGTGTTGACATCAGAGTTGACAGGAGTAGGGCGTTTCCGACTCCGGGGTTGGGGACTCAATGACCGTGAGCACATCGAGTTGGAAACACTAGCACCTATGGCCCAGGACCGCATTCAATAGTGAACATGCTGTGAAACTTTCTTCCTTTGACAGCCGTTTCCTTATATTTTGTAATTTTTTACCATTGGTTGTGACAGCCATTTAGCAAATAATTCTTATGAAATAATTCACAATTGTGCGATAAGTCTCATCAGGTGTTTACAATTATGAAGCAAAATTAGAAAGCCGATCGGGTAATGGAAGCTAAGCCTTATTTTGAAGAACAACGAAGTCTATACACCATGACAGGTCAATGTATAAGTCATTGGAACAGGGCCGCTTGGACAAGATGCACACAAACATGGGGGAGAGCAGACAGATCAGCGGTGACAAACGCTGGTCGCCTGTTATGTTTGAGATGAGAGGTCTCACCGGAGCGCGTTCACGGCCAAGGTAAGATCAAGGTTTGAACCAGTGTCCGTTGTTTGCACAGTTCCGGTTTCGAAACTCTGATTGCGATCGCTTCGTCTGTGGTTGACAAATGTCTCTTTAGTCCTGTGGAATATCGTCTCGGGACGGTATTAATGACTTTGAATGAGTCGTTTGCCTGAATCTGGTTTCCTGTTTGAACCAAATGGTCAAGAATGGAACTAGTGTTGTTCCTTACGGTGCCTTTTCGTAGCGACACAGGACAATGTTCAGCGATCCGTTTGGACAAACGACTGGTCTTATGTTCGAGGACCTTGCACCACAGATGCAAGTGAATTAATATATGTTGAACGATTCGAACGGGAACCGGTCTATCCTTCGGCCACTGAGAAATCGATCCAGTTCAGGCAAGTAATTTAGGCACGGCAGATGGAATGTCTAAACCATTGCAGTCAAGCTTTTTCCACAACAGCTCAAAAGCAATGCTCCCCTAAAGGAAACTAAGGAAGACATCCTTTCTGATACTGTAGTGAAAATATTTATAATTATCAACAGCAGTGCATCAGCCGTGTTAACTGATGTCTCGCTGCCGTACAACCACAATGACCCGTAAAACATAGAATAATAAGCGGAAAGGGAGGGGTGTGATGTTTATTATTATCATAGCCGAGTGAGGTCACCTGCATCGGCACATCGATCACAGTCGAGAAATTGTACTGAATGTATGGCTGCCGCAGACGAACTGGCCAAACGCAATTATTCTACGGTAACCATGGGAGAACAGTTGCTACATACCTGTCACATACAACAACAATGAGAAATTCCTTGAGCCGTGGACACGGCATCATGAGGAGGGATAATAATAATAATGATAGTTATTGGAACGAGTATCTGAACCAGATGATCAAAGATAAGGTTACTGTGATATGGTCATTGACCCACCTGATTGAGTGTGAACGTTTAAAAGCTCGACATGAAACGGGTCGTAAAGTCGTTAACATTACATGCAAACAGGGTTAGTATGTTGCTGTGTACCAAGGTGGGAAGAAGTAAGTGAAGGAAATATTGTGCCAGGATTACGCAGACAGACGATACTTGGACTCCCGATCTGAGAAAGCGCTTAGCTCGAAACTCCATGTTCGTAATATTTTCCCATTAATGTGACTCAGAGGATGGGAAGCAAGATCTAGCTCGGGTTTCACGTGGGTCTGCTCGAGTATCATTACACGCATGCTTTTCCATAGAGAAGCGGATGGTTCGCCGATTGCCAACTTACAGAGACGCCTGGACCAATTCGATTGGCCCTCACCATCCATTGATATCCCCTGCAAACCCAGCTGCCCGCCCTGGGTCGTCACACTTGATCCACCCAGCGAAGCGAAAGTTTGTCTTGTGATTCGACACCTAAGACAATTCAAGGCTGTCGGCTCAGACGGACTTCCTTTGGAGCTGTTCAGATATGGAGGCTCAGTTATTATTAGCCAGCTAACCACATTGTTTTCCAAAATCTGGAATGAAGAGAAGGTGTCTTCTTTTTGGGGCGAGTCAGTTATTGTCCCGGTTTTTAAGAAAGGTGCTCGCACTTCATGCACCAATCACCGGGGCATTAATCTTATTTCGGTTGCCCGCAAGCTATTGGCATCCGTTCTACTCCGTAGACTATATCCCATTCGGGAGTCGACGTACCGGGAAGAACCAACTGGCTTCCGACCAGGCCGCGGGTATGTGGATCAGATTTTCACACTCCGTCCAATCCTGGAACACCGCCACCTTTACGGGAGCCTTACCGTCGTTGCATTCCTGGACATCCGTATTCGACTCGGCCGATCAACTTGCACTATAGTGTTGTTTGCTACGGTACCGTGTCCCAGAAAAGTACACCGCCATTCTACGCACACTGTATTTCCAAATCTCTGGCAGAGTGAGGGTGTTTGGCAGGCTTTAGTCGTCCTTCATTGTAAAGAGCAGTGTACGACAAGGCTTCCCTATGTCCACGTTCCTCTTCAATTGTGCGATTGAAGACATCCTGTCGAGAGCTCTGGACGGCTGTCGAAATTTTGGTATACATCTATTACCAGGCAAGCGAGCAACCGACTTAGATTATGCCAGTGGTATCGCCTTACTTGGTGAGGACACACAGAGTATGCGAACCATTCTTGACCGCTTGGTGATTGAGGCATCTAGGTACGGAATGTGCTTTGCCACGCCAAAGTGTAAAGTACTGCTTCAGGATTGGCACTTAACTGTTCCCGTGCTCAATATTGAAGGTATACAGCTTGAACAAGTGGATAACTTTGTATACCGTGGCAGCTGTGTGTCTGCTCGTGATACCGTTAGAAGGGAAGCTTTTCTGTCCATCGCCAAAGCTCGATCGGCGTTTATCAACCTGCAGCTCTTGTGGCGTCGCCGAGTCGTATTTACAATGCCACCGTACAGGCGGTGTTGCCATACGGAAGCAAGTCATGGCCAGTTCGCGTACACGATATGCGCCGGCTCTCGGCTTTAACACAGGTTGCTTGAAGAGGATTGCTCTGGTGTGGTGGAAACGGCATATTTGCAACAGTGAAGTCAGACGTCCTGTCTTAGGGAATGCGAGTATTCCCTTCAGCAAGCTGGTTTTGCTGCGCCAGTTAAGATGGCTCGGTCATGTCCTGCGTATGTCAGCTGAGCGTTTGCCCTATCGCGCTCTGTTTGCTCGTGCAGGACTCAACTGGAAGAGACCACGTGGTGGTCCACCATCCACCTGGCGACAGCAAATGAAATCATTGACTTCACATCTTGCCACCATTGGATCCACACGTCTGCCTGGTTGGAGACCAAAGGACGGGGAGTGCCGATGGCTGGAAACAATTCAGGATCTGACTCTTAATTGGAACTAGTGGAGGATCTGTGTATATAACTGCTTAGATTTGGATACTTAATGCTTAACGATTAGAAACAACAAAAAGGGTTAAAAAATGGCGTGTATAAAATAACGAAAAATGCTCCGTTGTTTTTTCTACTGCGGCACAATAGCTGAAGTGTGTTGATGTGATGTCGTGATGCCGATACGGATTTCAACCTGTTTTGTTTTAGTGATTTCCATGGTCATGTTTGGTTCTATGTCTATTTGATAGACTACTGACTATACCACTACTACTACTAACCACCTCACACCGAGGTCAACCGCAGGTGAGTTTTGGTGACTTTACATCTGATTGGTCCGAGTGCTTGGTTTGAGGTGGGAAGAACAAAAAGTCTATTCACCCCACTAGATACACCCTGCGATGCTCTCGCGTTAACTCTATCAACGCGAGTTTATGGTCCGTAAACCAGTGTGTTTCATTGGCAACTGTTTGATTCCTAACTAATAACCAGCATAGCATGAAGCGCTCAGGGGATACATATGTCACGGTGCAACTTGGTGGGTCGCAGAGCTAAGCGAGCCATCATATAACTCCAAGATAGAATCGTAATACGGTGAGCAGACTGATGTGATATTCGAGATATCCAGGCCATCTTTTACGGCTACTGACCATCAACTGAGAGTAGTATTCGTGCGTAGGATAAGCTGAAGCAATATTCCGTGCCCGACTAAACTGGTTTCTTCATAGCGTCACATGCGACTGAAAATAAGATAACACGAATGAAAACAAATTTCGTTAGCACAAAGTTGCCATTGACGTATGCGAGCGCGGACAAACAATTTTTATTAACTCGAAACCCAAAGCCGGAGAATAATAGATGTGAAGCAGAGAAACGGATGATGGGAACGCATTTTCAAGAAGTTAGCTAGGAAACGATAGGTCCGATCATTCAATTATATATATATATATATATATATATATATATATATATATTCACGATCTGTGGTACAGGTATGGTGCCATCGGAATAATGGCGGAATATGAAAACATCACCTGAATAAGAAAAGAAAATAACAGGCATCAATTTTTGGTCCAACTTTTCGCTCACCGTTTTGTGTACTTTTTGGCATTTTGTTTTATTAAAGGAAGGGAAAGGCATCAGTGAAACACGAAAAAATGCACGTCCGCCACTGGTGTCGGTCTTGAGTCATAACTTCCAGGGCCTCCAACCAGCGACACTCCTTATCTCTGGGACCCCAATCAGGGAGTCGAAATCGACGGACTGAGGCCAACCGCTTCGTCAGCTTTTTCATGCGGTTTCTCCAAGTCGTAGGTTGTCCACTGCGCCGCCTCCACCAGCCCTACCCAGCAACCGCGAAGGCGTTGAACGGGCATGCGCAACATGTAACCAAGCAAGCGAAATTGGCGCAGTAAGACGATCTCCTCGTGTGACTGGCTGTCTTTCTCCAAGACAGGCTGTCAAACTTCCGCATTCCTAACGTCGTGCAGCCACCACACACGGGGCAATGGACAGCAAGCAACGAGGCTCGAAGACAGACAGCTAGCGCATTCATTAGACAAGAGCGGGAGAGTACCTAAGCACGCATGCTCTAAACTCAATGAGCACTCGATGTCGCTGTCATTAAAGCGAACGACTCATTCGTTAAGCAAGTGCGATGCAAGGGGTGAAGTATTGACGAAGTCTAGAAATCCAAGCGTTGAAATACCTCAAAGTTTGGAGAGACATTCTTAGCGAGTAGTGGGGCAATGTTGCCTTTCAATCATTAATCCTCGGACTGTGTTACGTGGGTGGGGAGCGCATCCGTCTACAGTCGCCCACTTTTCCATGCCAGCTGTCAGTTCTACGCTAGCGAAAAGATGTTCAGTCGCGAAGAAACTTGTAATCTCGCTAGCTCCAGGATGGCATATTGCATATTGACCAATCAGATTGCTTGCTCCGGAAAGAGCATCAGGGAAGATGCGGAACATTCACGAGTGTACCAAGCAGTTGTTAGGAAAAAGCTAAACCGCTGGGATCCGCAGGAGTCAAATTGTTTGGTGTGCCTCAAATGGCCATGTCCAGCCGCCAAAGCATTGCACGATTGAATGTGAGATCAATTACTTATTAGCGTCTCTAAAAGGATAAAGATTACCGACCAACGAAGAGTGCAATGCAACATTTGCAGAACAAACGGGGCCAAAAGTGGTATAGAATAAACCGAATCATGGAATCACAAAAACAAATGAGAATTCGTGAATGTGCGCTGACCTTGAAATTGGTATCCAAAGAGCTGATGATTTTAACATCCTTGGTTTCATTTAATGCACGTATAACAAGGCTGAAATAAAAAATAAAGTGCGGTCTTAACAGGGTTGACAGTTGTAGAAAGAATATTAGAAATATCTCCGGAATGGAGTAGCAAAGTTGCCTCCGCAATTACGAGGCAGTTGATGAGCACCGGTCATCTAGTGAACCCAGATGAGTCATTCACAGTTCTCATGCGCAGTCAAAGGCCTCACATGCTCAAGCTAATCGAGATCATTGTGATTCATCGATAGCGCCCACTGCTGTGTGTCCAAAAACAGCTGACAGTGATATTAAGTCTACAGTGGTAGCGTGCAACACACCAATCGGAAAACAGGTGATCTATAATTGATTTCATGTGGCGTTGTTTTTGCATTCCTTTCGGTTACTTGTATTGTGGTCGACGAGTATGCACGAAATGACAATATCATCCTACAATCATCGTCTTCTGATATTTTTATTTGGAACTATAAAGGGAAATTCATGTTTCAAATATCTCCGGAATAGCTAGGCGAATCAAAATTGGGGAAATATCCGTTGTAATGCTGTTCTCATTTTGCCGAAAATGTGCCAACGTGCTTGGCACAGGATGAAATTTGTTGAAATCCATATAAAACGGTGCGACAGATGAGGAAAACGAAAGATATAATTGATTAACCACATCTATAAAGAATAGAATGCGGTAAAAGAAAAAGTAACTTAGTCAGCCTAAAGGTAACATGTGGCAATGCGTCACAAACGTGACAAATCAAATCGATGAGAGCCGCGGGAGACTCACGTGCGATGACGATCCAAAAGTTCCTTTTTCTCGGCTAGCAACTTGCATTCTTTAAGATCATGGAAAAAATGCAAATCCAACTCAACGCCAGAAGGAGCATCGCCTTTCGGTTCTATAATAACAAACGGCAATGGCTGATGGTGGTATCAGATGCGATGAACAAAATTCATTGTTCGGCTACTACAAGTACGAGCCAATAAGGGAATTGCATAAAAAATCTGCCTGAATGCTAGTATATAGTGAACGCAGTGGTCACAAAGAAAGCAGAAGTATACGCACTGGCGCCGAGCATTCAAAGAGAAGCAATCACTGAGGCTTTGGTTGACATATATATTTATATTTGCAAAAGTCTGCTAACAGACATAATGCCATCAGAAACCATGGGATTCAAACGAAGGTACAGAAACAGTAAAATAAAACACAACACAACAATGTCCATGGTTTCCTCAGAGGGCGAGATACTACCCGGTTGCCCAAGCCGAATATATATATATATATATATATATATATATATATATATATATATATATATATATATATATTTGCAACAGTCTATGAATAGACATTGCACCATCGGAAACCATGGAACTCAAAACAAGGTACAGAAATAGTAAAAGAAAACACAACAATGTCCACGGTTTCGTCAGAGGGCGAAATACTACCCGGTTGCCCAAGCCGAAGTAGGGTGTTGACTTAGGGGACACCACCCCGAGTCTTTGGCTGAATAGCCTGTCCGCAAGGCAGCGGAGCGAATTCAGGGAATCGCGCCCATTGGGAGCCGGTGACTGATTGATCAGTTCATACGCCTTTTGTTTGTTCCTTTGTCAAACAGGGGCCCAATGCTCTCCAGAAGTACAGCATAAGATTGCTGGAATACAATGCTTCGCCAGAATGAAGCAAGGGGCAGTGACTTTATTTAGTGGCGAGTCACATCCGCCACGTCACAGTGTTGTTAAACGGACATATGTGGCTTTTTATAGGGAGAACGCTTGCCAGGCGAAAACCCACCACGTCCTGGAACACTGCCGCCGAACCATTTGCTGGAACGGGAAAATCCCGAACAACCCAGCTGGCACCACGAGGAGGTTGTTCGGCAAGCCATCTGAGAGCGGACAATGTTCCAACGTGTTTCAAGGCTAGTTCATTCGTGGATACCTCGCGACCGGAGACGCCAGCAACCGCGACTGCAATAGAAGGACGCACTGAGCCACCGGGGTAGTGTGAATGAAAGACGGTGATAACAAATGGTTCACTATTGTTGGTGTCGTCGCTGTCCTGTGCCATCGAAATCAAGAAAATGAGGATGATGAGAACACCGGGCTCCTGAACACACCTCAAATTTGACATACGCAATAATCACAAACGCATAGGGGAGCTGCGCCAACCATGCTATAAGCTCCGCCTTTCGGACACAGTGAGGGTGCCCGGGCTTTGGACAAGGACTGACATAGATCACTACGCAAATAACCATGTAGCACTCCAGCTAACAATATATATATATATATATATATATATATATATATAGTTGGCGGCAGCAGAGCCTTACAGTTGTATCCACTAAAATGTGTACGGGATATCCAAGCCTATATATATAATTGGAGTGAAAGCCTAGGTTGTACCGAGGTTGGTGGTGGTTAGGTTCCGACCGATGGTATACACAGTGCTGCTACTGTTGTGCCATGGGCTCTTGTTCTATGCGCCACCTCGTGGCGACCGCTGGGTGGGAGTTGGGTTACGCTCTTCTCCCTGCTAAGATCCAGGACACCAATCCGCATAAGTCAGTGAACTGACCATGTGCTAGACCCGTTGCCTTTCGGGTGTGCATTTACTCGAAGGCTTTGGCTGAGGACCCGAGTCGTTCTCCTGTCAGGTGTGGACGCCCTGCCAGTATCCTAGTCCATCCTCTTCGGAGGTTAGGAGGTGGTCGATGGCCCTCTTCCCATAAAACCTAGCCATGGGAGACAACAGGTCTACGGGTTATAAACTCACAACTCGATTGGCGTAGAGCACGAGCGCCACGCATTGTCTCTGACGGTGGGAGGGCACCTCCGGGTGTTCAATGGTCTGCTACTGCCCGCCTCAAGCCAGGCAGGCCCTGGTCAAATTGGTGCAAACCCGCCAAAAACCCACCTGCGTCTTACCGTGATCGCAGGTGCATCCTACTACGGTCGCAAAACATATATGAATCGTTCCAGTAACTCAAAGGTTGCGTGTGACGGCCGTCAAGTAGATCCCAATCTGTCTCTGCAATCACATTCCCGAGCTGGATCTGCTCCCCACTGCCTTGTGGATCAGGCTATTGAGCCAAAGGCTCCGGGTGGAGTCCCTCAAGCAAACCCCCGAAACATATCCGCCACCTCGCGTGCTATTGCCTACCAACGCAACCGTATGCCTGCGCGCAAAGCACTCAGCATCGGGTGATGGAACGTGCGCACACTACTGGACCAGAACTCCAGTGAGCGCCCCGAGCGACGCACTGCAATGGTCGTGACGGAACTGGCGCACTACCACATCAATATTGCGGCGCTCAGTGAAACCCGGCTCGCTGAGCAAGGTAAGTTGCATGAAGCAGGTGCTGGCTACATATTCTACTGGGTGGGCAACGCCGTCCAAGCACCACGTGATCATGAGGTCGGATTTGCAATATTCGATCGCCTCCATGGCCAGCTGGTAAGTGAACCAACAGGCATTAGCGCGCGACTGATGACTATTCGCCTACAACTCGGAAGAGGTAAGTTTGCCACTTTTATAAGCACGTACAGTCAGACCATGTGTTATCCTGATGACATGCGTGACCAATTCTACACTCAGCTATCCTCTGTGATACGGTATGTGCCGATGAGCGACCAACTGTTTCTTCCGGGTGATTTCAACGCGCGAGTTGGGCATGATGCATCGGTGTGGACAGATCTTATCGGTTCGTATGGCATTGGTTCAGCGAATGCGAACGGTGACAAGCTGCTCTCACTGTGTGCCACTCACGGTCTGACGATCATGAGCATTCGGTATGCAATGAGTGCGAGTGATATAACAACTTGGACGCACCCACGGAGTGGTCACGCTCACCTGCTTGACTATGTCATCGTACGTCAGCGTGATTGGCAGGGTTCGCCCCCTGTGCTGACCCTTGGTGGGGATCAGCTAGAAGTCGTTCAGAAATTCAATTACCTGGGAAGTTGTATCAGCGCCCTTGGTATTGAAGATGAGATCACGAACCGCATAGCGAAAGCTCGAAGTGCTTTTGCTAACCTTCGCCACCTATGGCGACGGCGCGACATTACTCTCGCCCTGAAGGGTAGAGTGTACAATGCAGCGGTACGTTCGACCTTACTGTACGGTTGCGAAACCTGGCCCCTAAGATCGGCGGACATGAAGAGGCTACTTACGTTCGACCATCGCTGCCTTCGCAGTTTGGCTCACATCTGGTGGGAACACCGCGTGAGTAACGAGCGTGTTCGACGCCTTGGTTACGGCCTAGGAAAAGGGAATGAACCGCTCAGCACCGTCATTTCACTCACCAGGCTCCGATGGCTGGGCCACGTGTTGCGCATGCCAGCCCACCGACTCCCTCGACGTGCGTTGTTTGCTCACCGGGGATGTGGGTGGAAGAAGAGGAGAGGTGGCCAAGCGATGACTTGGTCCAGAGGAATGAAATCCCTCACTTCGGAGCTGGCCTCAGTTGGAGCTTCACGGCTCCCTGGTTGGGGTCCAAAAGACGGTGAACACGTTTGGCTGGATACACTTGCTGATATGGCAAGGAGCCGACCTCAGTGGCGTTCCTGCTGTGAGTTTCTTTGTCCCTCCCCATCCCTTTAGCCTCCTCCTCCATCTACGATCTTATCTCGTAGGGTAAAACGTAATTAAATTTTTGTTTTTGCCTTGTAGCCGGCTAGTAGCTTACCGGAACGATGCCTGTCCGTTGCTGGTAGCTCAGCTGGCATTCAACTGTCGTATTTATTTTTCCTTTATGTATTGTATGTATGTATGTATTTCCTTTATGTATTGCGGTACAATAGCGGAGGTGTTTTACCATCTCTAGCTGACATGTATAATGATGATGATGATGACGTCAGCGTGATATGCGTGAAGTGCGCATGACACGTGTACTGCGTGGAGCTGAGTGTGGCACTGATCACAAATTGATGCGAACCAAACTGTACACATATTTTCGTAAATCAATGTATTGCACTCCCACCATGAATCGGCGTAAATTTAACATTCTCTCCCTCGGTACAGTGGAGAAAAGTATTGAGCTGAAGAAGGCGATGGCTGTACGACTGTGTGATGTGGAAGGCATAGCCACAGTGGGCGACCTGTGGCACCACATTCGCGACCAGGTGACAGCTGCTGCCGAGGAGACCATCGGGCGCGCAAACTCTAAGCGGCCTGATTGGTTTGATGACAACAATGCGACGATTGGCGCATTGGTGTGTGAGAAGAATGCAGCATTTGCTGCACATGTCGCAGACCCCAGTGACTTGGGGAAGAAGAGTCAGTTTCGCAAACTTCGACGGCGACTGACCCGAGAGCTCCGTCGCATTAAAAATGCATGGTGGACGGAGAAGGCGAAGCAGACAGAATGCTACGCCGAACGCCGCCAACACAAGAATTCTTTGACTCCTTGAACGCGGTGTATGGACCGAGGTTGAAGCCGGTGAGGACGCTGATCGATGGTAGTTCAGGCGCTACCTGCACACAGAATGAAGACATAATGCAGATTTGGCGAAAACACTTTGACTGTCTCTTGAACAACCGTTCAGAGATCGACTGGCCTAATTTGAATCGCCTGAAGCAGCACGATGTGAAGGCGAGTCTGGCGGACACGCCGACACTGGATGAGACGCAGGGCACTTGCTCAGTTGCGAAACGGCGTGTTGGTGCCGCCGGGGTCTCGCCTGAAATACTGAAACACGGAGGACCCGCGTTGGTGACTGCGCTGCGCCACTTGGTGCAACGCGTGTGAATTTAGAAGGATGTGCCTCCTCAGCTGAAGGATGCCCTTGTGCTACCACTGTACAAGGGCAAATGGAGCAAGCAATGTTGCACGGATTATCGTGGCATCAACTTGTTGAGTTGTGTGGGCAAGGTGATTTCCCGAAATCCTGCTCAACCGCCTCGTCAGTCAGGTTGTAGAACCGAAGGTGGCGGAAGAGCAGCGTGGATTCCCTTCGGGTTGCAGCACTATAGATATGGTGTTTGCCGCTCATCAGTTGCAGGAGAAGTGCAGAGAACGACATCAGCCGTTGTAGTCGCTGTTTGTTGATTTCACCAAGGCATTTGATACGGTGAACCGCGAGGCATTGTGGCTGGTGTTGGGTAAATTTGGTTGCCCGCGTAAATTTGTAAGTTTAATTGAATGTCCGCACAGTGGTATGCGAGCGAGGGTGCAGCTGAGTGGAGAGACCTCGGATGACTTTGCAGTTGTCTCTGGTGTGAAGCGAGGCTGTGTCTTAGCACCTGCCTTGTTTAATACATATCTCCATGTCATGATGTCTTGTGCTTTTGATGCGGCTTGTGCTTACGGTGTTCGTGTGGAGTACCCTATTGATGGTGGGTTGCTGAACATCCGTTGTTTCGGTGCGAGAACTCTAGTCTGTGGGACAACTATCCGTATGTTGCTGTTTGCTGACGACTGTGCGTTGTTTTCACACAGCGCGGATGAGTTGCAGCACATGACTAGTGCTCTGGCTTCGACAGCGGCCAAATTCGGGCTCACCATCAATACAAACAAAACTGTCTGTCTCTTTCAGCCTTCACCGGAGGTGCAATCTTCAATATTGCCGCAAATCAGCATTGGTGCTGAAGTATTGGAAACCACCTCCCGCTTCTGCTACCTTGGGAGTGTGATGTCGACTGACCAGCAGCTACACAGTGAGCTTCGTGTCCGCGTCTCGAAGCAGCGGCGGCATTCAGGAAGCTAAAGTACCGTGTACGGAACAACCATCAGCTTACCGTTGGCACGAAGCTGATGGTGTACAAATCCATGGTGCTGTCCATTCTTCTATACGGCAGTGAAACGTGGACGATGTACGGGCGAGATGTGCGATATTTCGAGCGGTTCCACCAACCGTGTTTGCGGCGGATTCCGCGCATCGGATGGGGGGACAGAGTTGCAGACAAGGAAGCGCTGCATCGAAGTGGTATGTATGCAGTGGACTGCATACTTTTGCTGAGACACCTGAGGTGGCTCGGTCATGTGAGACGTATGGATTTGACGCGGATACCGAAACAACTGTTATACGGTCAGCTGAGTATTGGGAAGCGGCATGTGGGGAAACCAAAGTTACGTTACCAGGACATGATCAAAGTGAGCGTCTCACGTTCTAATCTTGATTGCAGGTCATGGGAATCGAAAGCGGTTTATCGGCGTGCATGGCGCGATCTGATCACGAAGGCAGTTACCGAAGTGCAGGTGAATGACCTCATACATGCAGAGAAGAAGCGGCAAACACCGATGGGTTGTACTCCATCGAATTCGAGTGCATGGTGCTGTAGCACATGCGGTCGCGAGTGTCTGAGTCAGGCAGACCTAGTGAGCCCATGAGCGAGGCCACTCGGGACCACTACTGAAGCGACGACGAGTCCTGCAGAGCACGTAGGCAGGACCGGCGCAGCGTTTGTAGGTACTCTGCATTCGATTTACTAACCGCGTGCTTGCATACTGAGTCTCTTTATTTCAAGTGGTGGGTTTTCTGTATTGTCCTGATTTTTCTCTCACATGAATGTCTACCTGAAATATCTATAAACGTGCACACGTCGCTGAAGCTAATTGTAGTTAATTTCGATAACATTTTCGCGTTTGTGGCATTTCCTTAAAATATATTTTCTGACGTCTTGAATTTATCGCGGATTCCTTCGTAATCAATTTTTATACGCCTATTAAGTGAAGAGTTATGTCTCCGTATCTGTATGCATTATCCGATTCAGTTTATTTATCTTGTCGTTTCAAGTGATTGGCTGTTGCTTGATATCCTCGGTGTGGCTGCGCTTGATGTGCATCTTGACAAGGTGTCTACCTGTCTATTACCCACTACCTCGTCCATACTGGCTCCAGGAGACAGTTGGTCGTTGCTGGAGGGGACGGAGTGCACGGTCCTTGTAGCTGTGCTAGACTCGAAGTGTGGTTCCATGCACTCAGTGTGGAGCGGACGACGGTCCAACCACCGCCTTGTGTGTGCTTGATTCCCTAAATACAGCGTGCTTGTGTTTGCCTGTGAAGAAGTGTGAGCCGGCTCTGTTGATGAAACCTGGCTCCCATCCACATGCCTCCCGGTCTTATTCCTTCGGGTTTACACTGGATATGGAGTGTGTGGATGGAACTGAGTGGTGCAGCGCAAGCCACCCATGGTCCCTCTGTAGGTGCAGGCGTCCCGTGGCTGGCCACAGTGACAGGTAAATCCGGAACCGGATGCCGCCAACGGGAGAGAAAGAAGGCTTCCGAAAGTTGTCGATGGTTTTAGCTGACCTTAATATGTATCCCGGTTATCTCAAAGAAGAGAATGAATTCCTCCCTGGTTGCTTAGCGAATCTGATCGTACTCAGTGCTAGAATAAATGGCTATACAAGAGTTAAAAAGGCCGGTAACGGCCACAAACCCAGTGACCATGACCACAGGCACTTGTGATCAGTGCTAGATCAAGATTTGCGTCACGAGGCGCTGAAGTGTGCAAGCGCTTTATGATGAGGTTCAAAGCAGCGTATGTTGTCAAACCAAGTATTTTTTGGAGATGTTTGCCAAAACCAGAACGAAGTATGCGCACATGAGGGGCGTGATTCAATGTTGGGCAAACGCACATATGGATTTATATTTCGTTATTCAATCGTCCAGTCAATGGAATTATGGCAATTTAGCTAATTGCGTTCGAGACTAAACACCTGTCGGATGAAAATGGCTTCACTGACCGAGATTAACACGACTAATGTAGAAGCTAATCACGACCACAATCGAACAGGAAATACTGCAGCTTAAGCGCTACTGTACGCATCAGAAGAATCACTAAACATCATTACAACCGCAGATTACACAGACGAGTAGCGTAGTGGTTAGCACATGCAGGCGTCAAAGTGTATGGTCTCTGATGCTATAGACAGCTAGGGAAGAAAGGCTCAATGGTGAGAGGTGCCTCAAGTGTGCAATAAATTCGACATTTTATGCGCATCATAACCGATGGAACGCGTAAGCACGCAAAAATCAGTACGCCTGGTACCCCGAGAATCACCTCTGTAGAGCCTGATCAAGGTTGGATACGGACAAGCACCGGTTCTCTATCGGTGAGAAGACGCCTACAAGATTAGCGATTCAAAGCGAAACACACTGGTGATTGGTGTTTACCTAACCTCTCAAGTCAAGCCAATTCAAAGTAGGCTTTTATGCATCCGGGTAGGTGCATTTTCAGCAACTGGCAAGCAATGAGACTGTCATTCCTACGCATCAAATGGTCCGTTGGAGCACATGTAAAAATACGTGGCTAAGCAACGGTAGATGTTTAGAATCGTAGTTTGTCTTAACACAAACGAGATATTTGAAGCACTGGGTTCCTTGTATCAGTCTAAATAATACAATGAGAAGACGGGTGTTGCACGATGATATCATTTCGTCATATAGTGTCGAAGTCAACTCTAGCCGGATTTAGCAAACTTACTAACCATCAACTTTGCCGAGTGCTTGGTTGCTTTTTCAAGTTGAGATCCCGATTGGGATCGTAACTTTTCAGCAGTAATACACAGCTGTGCCACAACCGCATAACGCAGATGGCACTTGCAAACAACTCTCAAGAAGCTCGACTATTTAAGATAATACAAATGTTACCAAAAAATTATAGTTTTTAAACTTGGCTAAGAACGCATTCGATGCCAGTCGTATTTCCTGTTTGATTGAAGTGATGCATGATCTAAGAGCCATAAAATTAGAAGATAGCATATAAGCCAATGGACGCAGTTGAGTTACCTAGCGATGCCTATGCACGGGGGCCTCTCGCACCAAATTTAAGTCCCGAAGGGAGTCGTTTTTGACTTCGCTCAGGCTTTGGATATTGAAAATCTGGTTCGATGGGAAATAAGTGGGTGTATGGGTGTATAGCTACACTATGGAATGTTCACGGCATTACTATAGTGTCCAAACACTAGTAGTGTCCGAGCAATCAAAGGTGCCGGTTCGGTGGCTGTTCTACAAAACCCGTATGCCAATGTGGTGATGTTTCCTTTGATGTATAGTGAATATCGTCTAGTGTAGTGACTGAAGCCTCAGTATTGCGATCATTTTTGTTCGTGTGTACACAGATGAAATGACTGTAAGTAAAAACCAAAACATTCGTCTTACCCTTGGCAATTGCACACCAATTCGAGAGCAACTGACCAGCACAGTATGTAAGATCAGCGAAGGTAATGTACGATAAGCTTCGCTTCAGGACTTCGAACCTAAAAGAGAATCAACGTAAAAACGGGCTAATGTACACAGGTAAACACAGGCGCAACAAAGTAGCGTGATCAGCGCAGTAAGATGGATAAGAGGAACGTGCATATAAAATACGAATGAAACAGGAAAGATCATGAGGCCTAACTACATCCATAGCGCAATGTCAACCCACTGTCCCAATCAAAGTCAGTGAACAAATGCCGGTGTGTTCTGTAACTCCAAGTATAAAGAGGCTGGCGAAAGAACGACCCCTTTTTGAGAGTTTCGGATCATGTGTGAAGCAGAGAGCGAAAACGAGGTTTCTGGTAGATTAATTGATGCAGACTGGCAGAGAGAGAACAACCGAAGGGAGGTTAACAGAACAGCATACCATTAGAAGATGGCGGGAGTGGCGGAAGAAACGACTGAGTTTAGAAGAGACATATTTTATACTCCATGAAAACCGGTGTTTAGGACGCGAAAGCAGCCTCAAGAGTATGAAGAGAAAACACTAACCGATTAGTAGTGATAAACACAACAGCAGCGTAGGATTCCGAGAGGTCAGTGGGGAGCAAAAATAACGACTGGATGTTGTCCACCAAGTGACCAGGCAAGTCTTCCGTCCGACGGGCGACAAAAAGTAGATTGTCAAACTGTCGCTTGCAACTCGGTAGACGAAGTTCGCATCGTTCGGCGATGTCAGACAGCTCACGGCGTGTTTTGCTAGACAATTTACGCCCGACTAGTTCGCGTAACAAGCGCTCATCAACTGAGTAATACCTGGAAAAAAATAATACCTGAGACAGAATGAAGCCGTGCGAAGAAAAAGAGTGAAGTGTTCAGAGACTGTTCGGAGGATACACATGGAAAATAGGAGGAGGTATGAAGATGGTAATTTCTAAGCACATGAGTTGATGACAATCGGCTTTTAGTCAGAGGTTAGTCCGCACTAAGGCAGCAGTAAAACTGAGCATCTGCCAAGGCTTCTGCGTGCAGTGGAAAAGATTAGTGACCAAACGCGAGTACAGCAGCAACATGGGCTTCAGTAGGCCTTTGCACTCATTTACTCACTGCTCTAGAGGGCTGGAAGTGAGCTGAAAGACAAGCCGAAACAAGCAAATGCCGATACCAAAAAGGCGTCGGCGCCTCGAAGTGTTGCAGAGACGAGGAAACTGCTAGACCAGGTATTCGCAAACGCGAAAGTATCCGCCGTGGTAGAAACCAGAGAGGAGCTAGCGATGTAAACGGTTCTCATCAACACTGCGCTGCACGAATGACTGGCATCACTTAAATAAATGCATAAACTTTGATTCTCGACTATGTGAGGCACGCTCTTAAAAACATGATCACATAGGTGCAAAAGTGTGCAGTACTTTGGTAATAGATTGTACAGAAAGATTCAAATATTGTTCAGATACTGAAAGTTGACAGACGACAAGTGCCACATATGTATAAATATGTTTTGCGATTGGTTTTCTTCTGGTTACCTGATAAAATTTATGGCGTATAGTTTGATGTTTGGAAAAATTAGTCTATGAGTTTGTGAATTGCGTTCCAATGTGCACTGTAAATATGTGGTCAAATCAAATTCCTGTTACTCGATGTCATCAGTTCCCCAAATTTCAATAGCTCATGTCGGGTTATCGACTTGCTCCGAACAACAGCTTAGATGACCAATAATTGAACTTCGGAGATGGTGTGCCCCAAGAAGCATGGTAAGCGCATTAGACATCAGGTGAAATAGACATGTTGTCGGTTAATGACAACCGACCGGGGCGCATCTGGCTGGTAATCCACAGTTGCTCGGGTGGCTCCAGCACGCTCAGGTGGTGCGGGTGACTTCGCGGTATTCCTCCTAGCAAACGCGCAAAAGGCGGTGGTGGTCACGTGACTGCGATGTGTTGGTATTAGCTACTTGCTTGCTGGATGATTACACAACGGATATGTATGCAATTTCAACAAAAGATTTCTAGACGAGAAGATCGCAGGAGGCATCAAAAGCGAACCAGCATTTCGTATTGACGTTAGGCTGGCCCGCATTCGCAAGCGGTTAAATGCAGGTCAGCACACTGAAAGCAGGAATGCGAAATAGAATCAGTAATAATAATAATCATAAGAATAGTAATAGTAATAACATTGTCAGCTGTACGCTGTAACGGCGCTTCGCTGCCATACGATCACCACCAGTTGCAAGCGGTCTTGAGTTTGCCTAGGCCATGAACCCAATCCAACATTGGTCCCCTGTGTGTTTGCATATGCTGCCTAGTAGAATGAGCAAGCCATTGATATTTCATATAGTTAATCAGCTGGACACAAGTGTTGCTTCTTCTACGTTCAATTATCCAGGCCTGACGAAGGTTTCACGAGCTTAATTGCGTCATACATTTACTTTATAGTTGTGGATGCCTGAAGTGATTTATCGAAAAGAATATTTGTCGTGCAATTCCCCTAATAATACTTCTGGGTAAAGAAACATTAGATTCACGGATAGGTGTTTCGACCCACAAATCTGGACAGAAATAATATCGTACCGGTACGAAACGCCAAGGTTCAGTGAATGTAGCACACTAAAAAAGTAACAACTGAAGAAATTTAAATCGTGACTCTAAAGCAATTAAACGGAAAATTTAAGGAATGAATTATAAACAGACACAGTTTTATAAACACGTGAGAAATAGAATGCTTTGCCTAATGACTGACGGAAATCGTTCGTGTGCGCCACTTGTTATTCATCAGAATATGCATTATCTTAAACGAATCGTAATTCATGCTTGTAAGTTTAGAATCCATAGTTGTCGTTAATTTAGAAATCAAACCCATACTGAAAGCTACGGGGATGAACAGGTAGGTAGAATTGCTTACATGGAGAACTGTGTTTTTTCGAAGGGCACCATTTGAAGGGGGATTTCTCTTCGCATTACCAAAGCCCGAGCACCGTTCGACAATCTGAGGTCGCCGCAAGGAGACTTGACCTTTACGTGCTGCGACGGTTTGTGTACCTCTCTGACACATTGAGCTATACAGGGTGGTGCCCCCGGGCCCGTTGAGAGCTACTCCTACCATGTTGGTCACTGGTTACAGGTCAGACTGACTCAGTCTCCTGGTCCTCTAGGTTTGGCGTTTGAAATGGCATGGCGTCCATTCCTATAAAACCGAACCCTTGTCACATACGTTGCCTTGCGAACAGGCTTTTGAGCCAAAAGGTTTGATTGAGGACCCTAATCGTCTCTGTCTAGGTCCGGGTGCCCTGCCAGGATCTCAGCCCACGTACAACCATTGCGACTTCTGCGACTATCAACCACATCCTCCATCGGCCTTCGCGCTGATTATCAAGGATCGCCTTATCTGCTGCATGCAGCAGGACGGATAAACGGAAACATGCTACTGCTGGCGCCTCCCTTATTCCCTTTGCACCCGTTTCTCTTACTGCCATCCCAAACCCCACTACTAACCTTCCCACTATAATTCCCAGCCTAATTGACAGCAACCGAAATGTCACTGAAGTCACACCATCTACAGCTATCTTCCCGCACTACCCCCTGGACGCCTAAAGGCAACTGCTTCTTGTAAGACCACGCTGACCCGTTTCCCTGGCGGCATTCAACGTTTGCACACTAAGACAAATAGGCCAACAGGCTACACCCGCACCCACGTTGGACACACCGGGTATCGACGTGTGTTATGTGTCCGAAACTAGGATCAATAACCCTCACGGGATTGTTGAATTAACTGCGCCCGGCTTGTCCTCTCGCTATTGGTTACACATTGGTGCGGCAACCAGGGGTCAAGCTAAGGTAGGCATCGTTCTCAGCTCCCAGGCTGAGTCATCGTTGGTTGACTGGATTCCCGTGGACAGCTGCTTGTGTGCAGCCAGTTTGATGACATAAACTAAGGTGGATCAACGAGGTATCCCTGTTTGTTTGCGGTTTCCGCTAATGCCACCACCGACTGTAGTTCTGATACTGCAAAGGACACATTCTATTACGAACTGAACAAGCTACTACGCTGTGTCACGAGTTCCGATATCATAGCTCTTCCAGAGGATATGAATGCGCTTCATAAATGGTACTTATGAACTTAGCTTCAACCGTACAAACAACGGTGAGCGTCTGTTACAACTCTGTGCGGAGCACCGGCTGTTTCCTAGTAGCACCGCTTTTAGACACAGTGGACGTCGAAGTGCCACTTGGCGCTCTCCTGCAGCTGACCAGCGATGGACGCAAATAGATCACATTGCCATCAGTTACAGGTGGCGTGGTTCCGTCTTGGATTACCGCTCGTCCTGTAGTACTTGCGCCGACTCTGATCATGCCTTGGTACGCTGTCGTTTTACCATGACCTTTACCGGAAGGCGAACAAAGCGTCTCCTTCGATCGGCAAATGAGAAGTTATCTCAGCCCTCGGCTAGGCAAGCCTACCAGGATGCACTGCAAGCCGAAATTTCGATCTCTTGTCCTAATGACACTGAGCTTCAGTGGAATAGGATCTTGGCCGCATGCACCATGCAGGATTCTCTGCTTGTGGTACTATCAATCGTCACCACATCAGTCATTGGATATCCGAGGGGGCGGTGAACCTGTTGGAATCCAGAAGAAAACTTCCGGCTGGCTCTGAGCATAATGCAACTAGGCGGACTATTAGGCAGCAACTAAAGCAGAGCCTACATGCTGATAAGGAAGCCCGGTGGACTAGTATGGCTTAGGCAATGGAGAAATAGGGAGCAAGCTCTTCCATCTGATCCATATCATTGGTCCCAAAAAACCAGACGTCAGTGAGACAATCAGAGACAACGCGTGTGCTCTGATTCACAATAAGTAGCTCAGTATGGCACGATGAGCGGATCCCTTGCAAGATCAGTTCAGTTGTCCCATGATTCTGGACCTCTTCCACTCAGGTGATGCAGGCTGAGCCATGGCCCGTTAGTTTAGAGGCCGCGTGGTGCGCTGAGGTCCGAAAAGCGATCACGGCTCTCAATCGCTTTCCTGCTTCTGGCCCGAATTCCATCGCACCCACATGGTTTAAGGATGGTGGTGAGGTCCTCTGCAAAACACTGACCTCCCTGTTCGAACATGTCTGGAAGGAAGAGACTGCCCCAACTAACTGGAGAGAATCAATTGTAGTAGCAAATAACAAGAAGGGCAGTCGCACCGAGTGTGCTAAGCATAGAAGTATTAGACGAACGCCGGTGGTGACGAAATCACTGGTCATAATTCTCGTTCGTCGCCTCACTGCGGAGCTAAAATCCCGGACTAGGGAAGAGCAAACAGGCTTCTGCTCAGAGCGTGGCAGGTGCTAAAGCAGCGCCACACGTACCGCAGACAGACAATAACTGTGTTCCTAGATTTTAAAAATGCGTTCAATTGAGTCGATCGATGTATTTTGTTCGAAATACCTGATAGGAAAGGTGCTCCCAAGAAATATGTGAACATCCTACGTGCTATATGCTGGAACACGATAGGCCGCGTCCGGGTGTACGGTGATCTGTCGGCTGCCTTTACGACGACAAGTGGTGTTCGTCAGGGTCGTCAAATTGCCCCCACTTTCGTTCAGTTTCGTCGTGGACTCCACCATGGAGTGTTCCCAAGCGGAATCGCACAATGCAGGCGTTGAGGTGATGCCTGGTGAAAGGCTAGTTGATTTCGATTATGCGGGTGATATTGTCCTGCTTTGTAAAGATGTTGGGCGGCGCAATTAACTCTGAATAACCTCTCTAGAGTGGTCACATTATTTGGCATGCGCTTTGCACCTTCAAAATGCAACTTGCTGTTGCAGGACTGTCAGCCAACTGATGACCCCTTGACCCTAGATAGTGAGGAACTCGAGGTAGTTGATCAATCCACCTATCTTGGCAGTTGCATCTGAAACGATGGGCGCATAACGAATGAAGTCAGTTCGGCATTGGAAAAGCTAGAACTGGCCTCCTGAATCTGCGACATCTTTGACAACAGAAAGGGGTTTCTGTCGGTCTGAAAGGCCATTTATACAAGGCCAAAGTGAGGGGCGTTCTGCTCTATGAGAGTGAAACATGGTCTCTTCGGCGTCAACATCTGAGGCGTCTTCAAATTTCTGATCATCATTGTCTGCGGAGCAGTGCTGGTGTCGGGTGCCGCCAACATGTCCGCAATGATAATGTGTGTAGGCGAGTACTAGGCAATGACAGCTAAACTAGTTCCTTAGGACAACAAAGAGCACTGAATAAACTGCGTTAGCTTGGGCACGTACTACACATGCATAGTCACCGCTTACCGAGGACGGCCTTGTATTGTTTGTCAGATATGGGGTGACGCAAGGCCCTATGTGGGCAAAAAGTAAGTTGGTAACGATAAATGAAGCCACTGACGACCAAACTCGGTGCCGTCGGTCGATCTCGCCTTCCGGACTTAAGTCCAGGTGACCCGCCTTGCGCTTGGCTTGAGACTTTACAGGACATGGCTCGCAGTCGACACCAGTGACGTGTCTGTTGTCGTCTTCTATTCGGACTGCCTGTGTGTTTGTGTGTGTTTGTTGCTGAGTTACTTACAGGGTAGTGACTGATTGTGACACAGGGCTGTGAAAGCCACAAGGAAGCTGTCTCGCCCATGCCGCCTTATCTTTACACGATAGCCAGCTATTTGTGATGGTATACTTGTTGACAAGGTGTAAGCGCCTTGACCCTGAGTATTTGTTTGGAGCATTAAGGTTTTACTCCAGAGCTTCCTTATCTCCTTCTTGTTGTTCTTTGTTCCGTAGATCACCGTGGCTGTACGGCAGTGAAGCATCAGTTCAAATGGCTGATTTACTGCTGTCGATGATAATGGTGAGGAAAAGCTGAGACCGCTGCGGAGTCCTCGAACGTTTCATCCTCGGTAAAGGGCAGGATCTACAATGCCAGTGTTCGACTCGTGCTGTTGTAGGGAAGCAAGTTCCGGCCGATTCGTATGAATAATATGCGTCGGATTTCCCATTTTAGTAACAGGTGCTAACGGAGAATAGCCCATAGGTTTGCGGCGGCGAGATTAGATGTTGCAGCTTAGGTAATGCGGATCCTCATCTCCAAAGCCTTGTATCGTTGCGCCAACTGAGATCGACTCGTCACGTACGACGCATAAGGTGCGAGAGATTGCCACCTCACACTTTATTCCCTAACACCGGACCGCACCGGAAGAAGTCGCGCGGTTGTCAGCCTACCACACGGCAACAAAACATCAAAGCGCTGACCTCCAGTTTAGCCATCGTCCGTTCCGTGCGTTTTCCGGGCTGGGGATCCAAGGATGAAGAACATCGCTCGCTCGAAGCACCCGAGGACATGGTGTGAAATCGGGAAAAACGAAGGTGTAAATTTGTTCATAGATTTAGCTTCCAAGCATCGGAATCACCAAACTGATAAAAAGACAAAACGGTGTGTAAACAATAACAAAGTTACTTTACGTTCCTCCCGTCTTCCTGGTTTTGACGTCTGTACCCATCGTACACATTTATTCCGCGTCTCTGGCGCCTATTTTGTAGAGTATATATATATATATATATATATATATATATTAGCTCAGGTTTTGACCGAATATATTGTAGGACGAGTAGCTATCCCGACTGTTTGCTGAACCACACAATTTCGCTTGGGACGTTGGCGTTATGCCTCCTAGGTTAGAGATGTTTTGATGCATACCGGACGGGAAAAGTGTCAGAGCGGGATGATCCCAGCTTATCGATCCCAGTGAATCACGGGCTGTGATTTCAACTTAAATGGAGCTTAAGAGGGTAACTTCAGGTCAGCGGGTCAAACTCAACTCATTTAAGAGCCGTAGGATATTAACCGTGAGGCCCATTGAGTGGCATTAGGCCAAATGACTTGTGAAGGTCCAACCGCAGCAGCGGAACGCCAATCACAGAGATCTGATCAGTGGAAACTAGTGATTTGCACCCGAATAGTGACTAAAATCAACCACGGGGGATCAGTATAAATAGGAGAGATTTGTATTGGTAGTCATCCCTAACTTGAAGATCGAATGCAATTGTGACGTCACGAAACGCCGAAGTGTGACATTTGGGAAATTTCTATACTGTAACTCCTAGAGTCAGGAAAAGTTCTACGGGTAACTATCACCTAAGTTTCACACTACAAGCGAAATGCGCAAGACTATCATATACTATCTCGCTTTAATTTGGTGACTGATGCGATTATCGATGACTATGTTGCCTTATATGAAGAGTAACTCTGGGAGACAAATCTTTGATCAACCCATCATAAGTGGATCACGTTTCTCATTTAAAATTGAATGAAGCACTGTATAAACATTAGAGTCGATCGGCGCGAAGTGCTGCATCTACGGATGACAGACGGTAACTTACTAGACGCATTGGTAATGCGTGTGTGGCTCAAAAGACGCAAGCATTGGTGGAAGCTACGAGATACCTGTTTATCCGTCTAACGCATGCCGAAATAAACTGCAGCAAGGGCAGCGTCAACGTATAGGTCAGAAACACGGTCATCGAGAGTTAGTGAAGTCGGGAGAAGTCTCGGGTCTGATGACAAGTCTTCTCAACAATGTCCGTATCTGGCAAGAGCACCAGGTGAAGAACACGGAGGTTGGTGTCCGGTAACAGCCCCTGGTTCAGTACCGAACAACCCACACTGCTCAATTCACGTTCCTCGGATGCCTGTCGGAGCGTTGACACTGAGTAAAGTTACGGGGCGGTCAAGCGATGACATGGTAAAAACGCGCGGAAAAAAAGACGGAAAAATCGGGCCACGTTGGCGGCACATGTTGGTACCTTAGCTTGTTGTGTCCGGCCCGAAAGTGCTTCCAACCACCAACGGTAGTGAGAATACGAATGAGCAGGAACCGGATTCAGGGATCTTGTTATAGGAAAACGGCACTGTTCATATATTATGAAAGCTGACAAGCGCGCAACTGTAAAAGTGGCCAAAATACTGGAAACGCGCGACTAAACAGTCACTGAGGATAAAGAGAGTTACGAACCAAGTGAATGCACACAACAAGGAGACAGTGTTAGCGCCAGTGTGGAAATGTGATCTATAAGCAAAAGTAACGATTCGAAATGATACATTGAAACAAGCCTCTGGGAATAGACGAGTAATATAAAAGTCTGCAGTTATAAACATTTGCACAAGCATAATTGAATATATATCGACCCTCTAACATCTTGAAAAATAAGTTTACACTAGGTCTACATGGCTCTTTCGACGGGGCTCTCTCTTGATCAACTTTGATCTACATGTATTCATGGCGAGTTGGGCTTAGGCCACGATCGCAGTGTCGTTCGTATAGGTAACTTGTAAGCACACGAATATTTGGGACAGGTACGATAACTGTGCCGGACCATGATATTCGTTTCAAAACACAAATGATTGGGCAGCTCATTTGACTTCGCAATCCAATTTATTCCGGGCAGATTAATGTCGGCACAAGAAATTAGGTAGATCCTTATAAAACTGCTTATTCTTGAACTTGAGTTCACAGGCAATTTTTCCGTCTAGTTTCAGGGCTTCTCTAGATGCAATTCGTGCGGTTAGTTTGTAGGTTTGACAAACCGTGTGATTAAATTCTTCCACCTCGATCGTGAATTGTTCGTGATATCAGACGCCATAGATACAATGACACCGAAACATCGTTGAGTTTCTAGTTTGGTCTTTTCACTTGCCTGAAAAATTTGTGTCGAATGCTGCAAGAATCGCCTTCGAATTTGCACCCTGAAACCTGGTCCCTCTGAATTTGAGGCTTGCGTCCAACCCTGGAGTTTCGTTATTACCAAACCGTTTACATTTTTGAAACCGATTACTGTGCACGTAACCTCACAAAATGCTGCGCGTCACAGTTAAAACACAAAGTCGGGAACTTCGGGTCGGTGTATTACAATTCACCATCTTGGCTGCAAATAGCCCTGTAGCAGACCTGGACCTCTGTACTGGAACACGAACTTTCAACCATTTCTGCGTCGTGTTTCAAGTTGAGCAGCCTGTGACATTCAACCGCGATCTCCTGCAATGTTAGCCGTGTTCTTATTGCAATTCTACTTTGGTGTTCAGCGTTTGCGCCAGTTATTCAATCAACTGCGGTTGCGATTTTTGAAACTGTATCTGCTGCTCCAGAAGGAGGAACTGCATATGATTTAATCAAATGGCCATGCCGCTACAACACGTTACCAATTAAGGATGTGTCGGTCCCGCGAGTGCTCCAACTCACTAACGGTAGTGAAAACATGAAGTATCCTCTGACATAGATAAGGGTCTCGGAATCCGCCATATCAGTAGTAGGTAATGAGTAAAAAAAAACTTTTCGTCTCATCTTAAGATACTATGTTCCTTTAAAAAGGAACCTTCGAATAGTCTCCATAGGTCTTTGTTTATTTGGTTTTTAGTGACGCTTGTTTGTATTATCGTGACGAAGTCAGTGAAGTCAAGTGGAAGCGCTGTATTTGAGTGCTCGAATCAACGATTTCGAACGGAAAACAAACGGATCAGACCTTCATGTGGCCTCTAATTTCGATTGAATCAGTGTACAAACAGGAAGTTCCTATACCAATGCAGAAAAACAACAACAACCAATGGTGGAAGAGAAGAAGAAATGGAACTTACTTGACTACCAATGCCTTTCGAGTAGATATGGGGAGCTGTTGATAGGCACATGACTGCATAAAGGTGTCCGGAGAGCGAAGCCCAGTTTCAAGTGAAGAAAATTGCGCGTAATGGTCGAACACGTGCGTCTCAAGCATGCGCGAGGATAGGGAAAATGACGCTGCCAAAGGGTCCTTGGTCAATTCGCTCCGAACTTCATTGACTGTAAAATTTAGACGATGGGTTGCATTCGTCACAAATGTGCACCGAGAGGTTCGGTATAAATTAAATTGAATTGGCAGCTGGATAGGAACAAAAGGCACGGGTAAAGCAGAAGTGTCATAGAACACTATGGTTAATTCTAGCCATCGCGATAAGACTCTACCATATTTCGTGATAAAAGGGGAAACGTTAGTGAACAATCTTCAAGTATCAGAAGAGTTGCGCACACCGGGTAGAGGAGTTGGCAGCCAGACAAAAGTAGTGTCACACCGCCTCTTTCGGGTCATAAGTTCCGGTCGTATGATGTAGAAAACAAGCGATAAGAATTGTTCTTGTAGAATGACAATACACCTCTTGCTCATCTGTTTACAACAGCTCATTTGAGGCCGGACTACTACTAAACAGTGGGCATAGACTAGCCAACACTCAACAACGGCTGATCGCGATCACATGTACATCACCTACCGTGGGTGAAAAACGTACACAATTCTGAAGCTTCCTAAAATGAATTGTACCTGCCAAGAGCTGTCACATTTTACGGCAGCATGTGTTCTTCACTGTCTCGTGAACCACACTATTGAGTCAAGGAATGTAAAAGAAAATTGGAGAAAAACAGTTCCTTCGTAGCATTGATAGGCTCCATTTAACCAAACTCAGAAACAGTGAGAAATACATATCAACGTAAGTGATTTGTAGTTAAATGAAGAATGCCCAAAGGAACCGGCGCGTCTGCAGCGGGTACTCCAGTGTAGAATGTGTCAGGCCGACATCGATATCATTCACTCGGTACAACGCTTCACAAGCATCAAAGGTCAACGGTGACCAGTCTCACCTATTCGGTGGGTGATGGCCACATCTCCCGTCTAAGAGAAGCACTGTTCACACTGCAATGTTTACGTCAGTAATAAAGCAGATTAACCGTAGCGTTTTAGAGCCACATAAGTCACAGCAGTGAGCGGAATATACTACTAAGCGATTCGGTCAGTAAGAATGACATAAATGCCCAGATAAAAGTCGATCCACAAAACCAATAGTGAAGGACGCGAGCCGTTATCTCGTTCAGTTGGTCGGATCAAATAATGTCATGCCATATCGGCCATCGCTTAGTGCGCAGAGAACAGCCTATCTTTGCCATTCGGCAAGATGAATAAGTGAAAACATACTACCGCTGGTGCCTCCTTTCTTTTTCCCTACACACCGCATTTGCAATCTGCCGTGTGCATTAACTGATATTTTAAATTCTCACATATGTACACACACCCAGTTCGCAAATGATTGGATGGACGTATATCGATTGATAGCTAACACGCATTACGCCTATAAAGAGAGAATATATGGACCGAACAGCGTCGAACCACTCGGTCGCATCCAACATTGCTGTGTATGTGGCTTCCGAAGATAGTCCATCCCTTCTGGGGCGAAATGCCATGGTTGCACTTAAGAACACTGTCTGTCGATCAATGCGTATTATGGCATTTAATACCTCGACGCTTGAAGATCTATACCCCAAGTTGTTCACTTAAATAACTAACCGGATTTCATCCACCGCTCATGGCATATACCTTAAACAAGACGATAAACTGTTTTCCATAGCACAGCAACGTTCCATTCCACTGGCTAAAGGTGAAGTGGTGAAAAAGGCCATAGAGAAGATGGTATCCAACCATCTGGTAGGACCAAGTAACTGTTTTGCGTGGGTACACCAGATGGCCACCGCCTTAAAGAGGGATGGTACTGTGCGAATATGTAATAATTTGAAGGTGTCAAATAGTCAAATCGTCGTCGAAAAATTCGATCTTCCCACGGCTGATAAGTTGCTTATCAAGATAACGGGTGCACGGTTTGTCTCTAAACTAGATATGAAGACAGCCTTTTTCTACATCCCAATGACAGCGAAGTCGAGGTCACTGACGGCTTTTCTGACAACGTGCGGCCTGTTCCAGCACAAAGTTTGCCAAAGAGCCTCGGATCTGTACCGACAGCTAGGCGGAAGTTCATGAATCACTCACTATCAGAACTACCCGGACAAGTCGCTTACATGGATGACATTCGCGTTTTTGGTCCCTCTAGAGCAGAGCGCGACTCAAGGCTACGCGCTGTAGTATAACGGTTGGAGAGGCTGGATTTTAGATTCAATCTACGGAAGTCGAATTCCTTGGGTACATCTTATGCTCTGGTGAAATCCGACCATGCGGCTTAAAACACTCGGGCTATCACAGACGTACCCACCTCGAAGAATGCATCTGGAGTCAAACATGTTTCTGGCTTATGCTCCTACAACTTACATTATCTATTAGATTTAGCCACGCTAACGGAGGCTGGCCAAGCAAAAAGCCACCACTGTCTGGGGCTCTGCAAAGCAAGCTGCATCTAAAGAAAATAAGACACACATCATGCCAACCATAATGCTGTCCATTTGTGATGAAAAGTGCCCTACATTTGTCTCGACGGATGCGTCAAACATTGGGTTAGGGGCTGTACTGTTTCCGATGCAGAACAGGAAGGAAACGTTTATCGCGTATACATCCAGCAAGTTAACCACAATAGATGTTTCAGCATCCTTTGGAGAAAGAAGGCCTAGCAAGTCCGAACCTATGAAAAAGGACATATTTTCCTGTTCAACATCATTATATAATCATTATACACGTTAGCTAGAGGTAAAAAGCACAGCTACTGTGCCGCAATACACAAAAAACAGGAAAAATGCAACATGCAAGACAGCTAAGCTCACGGTAACGGATGAGTATCTTTCCCATGAGCTACCAGAAGGCGACCATGCAGCAAAAAAATTTACTATGCAAAATTATATTAGGATAAGTAGTGGTATCGTGGTTGGAGGGGAAACTAAGAGGGATGAGGCAGGACGAAGAAACTCACAGCACGAACGCCACTGAGGTCGGCTCCTACCCATATCACCAAGTGTATCTAGCCAAACGTGTTCATCGTCTTTCGGAGCCCAACCAGGGAGCCGAGACCCTCCAATCGAGGCCAGCTTCAAAGTGAGGGCCATCATTCCTCTCAAACAAGTCATCGCTTGGCCACCCCTCCTCTTCTTTCATCCACACTCCCGACGCACAAACAACGCACGTCGCGGAGGTCGGTGGGCTGGCATGCGTAACATGTGGCCGAGCCATCGGTGCCTGGTGCATGAAATGACGGCGCTGAGCGGTTCAGTTGCTTTTCCTGTGCCGGAAACAAGGCGTCGAACACGCTCGTTGCTCACTCGTTGTTCCCAACCGATGTGAGCCAAATTGCGTAGGCACCGGTGGTCGAACGTAACTAGTCTCTTTATGTCCGCTGATCACAACCATACGGTAGGGTCGAATGTACCCAGAAGTCAAACGTGAGATCGGACTGTTGAAGTTAAACAAAGCCGCGGGACCAGATGATCTTCATCCAGCCCTCTTCAAAATCGGGTGACCTGCTCTCATGGATGATTTACATGAATTAGTCCATCTTAATGAGGCTGGACCTTACCGTGGTGCGATGGTTTGTGTGCCTCAGTGATCCATCGAGCTATACTATGTGGTGCATTTTTGCACCTTCAGAGTCACTCATACCAGATTTGTCAATGGTTAGAGGCCAGACAAATTCAGCCTCTTGGTCCTCCAGGTTGGGGGTTGGAATGAGGGTGGCTCCTTATTCCTTAAAACGGACTCCTTGTATCCCAGTGCCAAACCCGCTGCCTTGCGGACAGGTTTTTGAACCAACAGCTTTGGTTGAGAACCCTAATCGTTCTCTTGTCTAGGCCTGGGCAACCTGACAGTATCCTGCCCACGCAATACAATGAATCCCACTTCAAACAAATTTCTGATGCTCTGGCCACCGCAGAGGATAATCAACGGTATCCTATCTGCTGCATCGGGCAGGGTGGATAGGGGTTTGGATGCTACTGCTCAAGCCTTCCCGTCTTCTTATTCCCCCTCTAGCGCTTTTTCACCCTTATCGTCCCGTTCCAGCATCACTTTTATCCCCCCCTGTTTTTAATCCCCCAATTCTCGGCCCTCCCCCACCTTGCTTCAATAGTCGCTTGTCTTTTAGTTTCAACTCACATGTGAACGCGGAGCGTCATTCCTACACTGTCAACAGGCCCATACCCAAGCAAGCGGCCCATTCCAGTTCATCGGCTTCCATTTGGAGCCCTCGATCTTACTTCAGATTGGCATGCCTCAATGTTCGTACATTGCTTCAGATCGGTCAACAGGCAGCAATTGCCCGAACATTAGAGACCCTCTCGATTGATATCTGCTGCTTATCGGAGACCCGCCTGCAAGACTCGAGCTCTGTACTCACTCTGCGATCCCCTTCAGATGACACTAGCAGCACTTTCTCATTGCGCCTATCCGGTGACCATGCAACTTCGAGCACCGGCCAAGCCGGTGTTGGTATTGCCCTGAGTCCCCGGGCTGAAGCTACTCTGGTTGATTGGATTCCAATCAATAGCCGGATGTGTGCGGTCCGATTGGCTGGCTCGTTCAAAACCTCGAAGATGCGCGGGACCAACAGGTGTCTATTCGTCATCGCTGCCTATACACCCACAAACTGTAGCGATGACTCGGTAAAAGACGAGTTCTATCGTCAACTGAACGAGCTCCTTAGCCACAGAAGAAGCTCGGACACTGTAGTGCTGGCTGGGGATCTGAACGCTCAAGTTGGAAAATTATCAACAGATGAGTTGCATTTGGGCGGCCAACATGGTATAGGCTCCCGTAATGATAACGGTGAGCGGTTACTTCATTTGTGTGAGGATGCTCGCTTATTTCTTGCGAGCACTAATTTCAGACAGAGCACCCGCCGGAGGGTGACTTGGCGCCCACCAGCCTCGAACCAGCCTTGGACGCAAATCGATCACATTGCGATAAGTTACCGATGGAGAGGCTGCGTCCAGAACTGTCGCTCGATTTGGAGCACAGGTGTGGACACCGACCATGCACTTGTATGTGCTGACCTGCGGATGCGCTTTGGCGGACGCCCACGACGATTTTGTGAGCGCATTGACACCAGCCAACTGGCGAAGCCAGCTGTTCTGAATGCGTATCAAAGTACGCTGTCATGCGAGTTGGATAAACGCTTACTGGAT